ATTTTTTGGGATATACATCAATCGTCATCAATGTTCCTCAAATGTCATGCGCATCAGTTCGTTCGCATCCTACTCGCTCATTATGTCCATCGGAGTCGCTATGAGATTCGAAAACGAGACTGCTCAGATGTCTTGAAAACCCATCCGCCATCAGACATACGACAGCGGCAGGATTCGAACCTGCGCAGGCATAGCCTAGTGGATTTCGAGTCCACCTCCTTAACCACTCGGACACGCTGTCTGGAAGACGCAGAGGATCTCATCTCTACCCATGAGAATCGCCACCCTGTTCATGTTGCTAGGGGAGTGGCTCACAGCATCGCGGAGCACCTCAGCAAGGACGATGATATTAAGCTGACTCGCATTCTTGCATACGTAGCCCAGCGCTTTGACAAGAACGTCGGCGTAGTAATGGTATCGTTCGCACTCTTCGTAAGAGGTCTCTTCCCAAATGATGGCTGCAACGACAGCGAATTCGCTGAAATGGTAGGGCTTATATAGGATAAGAGTCTAGAGGTAGATACATTTTTTGCTAGGTGAAAACCAAGTGCAACTTGGTTTCCACCGCGGTGAAATGCCTCCAAGTGGATTTGAGCTGGGTACGCCCGGTCAGGGCGCTCGCTCATCACGTAGCGTGATCGATTTTGTTCGAAGCCTCGTTGGAAAATGGGACCGTTCGGTCCATAGATTTCTTTTTTTTCCACTCGTCTTCTCTATGGTATTCGTCAGGACCTCCCCGTCTGGTTACGTCCTCGAAGCTCAAGTGAGGCATGCTTGATGGGCTTTACCCCCCGTAGGGGGGACCCCTCCCATTCCTTCTCTTACGTGGATCTCGAGTCCCCCCCTCCTTGCTCTTGGCTTTCGAGCCTGCTTGATCTAGGCCTTGAAGGCCTGGCCTTCGGGCCCTCACTTGTTGGACTCTCGAGTCCTCTTCCTCTTGACCTTCGGGTCATTTATACTCTCAGCCTTCGGGTTCTCTCCATACATTCGCGGCCCTTGGGCCTCTCAAATGCGGAACCTTCGAGTTCTCTTCCTCTCTTGCTTTGCAAGCCTGGGCTGAGGTTGTCATCGTCCCTCTCGGGTTTTTCAGGTTTCATCAGACCTCAATGTCGCCGCCTACAAAGTCTGGCAGGCCACCCAAGGAAGCTCTAGTTCCTACCGAGGCCTCAGGAGATACTGGTGCTCCAGGCAAGCCCTCTGAGGGTGCTGCAGCTGCTGATCAGTCCGGCGAAGCCCCTACGGTCTCTGGTGAACCATCTCAGGATGCGGCGGGCATAGCCGAACTCACTAAGCCTCGTCAGGTAATGCCCCCCCTTTTCTTTTGACTTCGTCGCGGAAGTTGTTCCCCTTAGACGCGCTCATCGTCTCGCTCTTCAAAGATGCGTAAAGAGAAACCCTCAGAGGGCTCGGCGGAAGCCGAGCATAGGACCGGTGAAGAGAATGCTCCTAACTCCTCCTGTTCTCGAGCCGGTAAACTCACTCTTGTGCCGGAATCGTTCTTGACCATTGATCTCAGATGGGTCTCAGAGAAAGAGTCTTCTCGAGAGGCACTTCAACGATATTAGATCCGATGACGATTTTGAGGACAACGAAAGTGACAACGGCAGCAACGAGGGCGACAATGGCAGTAACGAGGGCAATAACGACAACGATGGTGATGACGAGATTGTCGACGAG